TCACAGATTTTCTGTGGCCAAACTCTGCCAAATAGTTTGTTTCAACTTGAAAGTCACTCATTATTTGTCCAAAAATGTCACTGGAACAAGTAAGTGAGAATCACTGCTTCTCTTATTTTTTAGTGGAAGTTAATTTGAGGTGTTGAAAAAAGCAAAGGCAGAAACAAGTTCTTCAGGTTCAACACCTTTAATGAGCAAGAAAAGCCAATTCTGTATCAAGTAAGCATATAATTAAGCAGATGGCAGATAAGGACAGGGACTGAGAAGCGGGATTTTAAGTCAGATTTTGACATCTCATCTTCTCATGAAGGACACAGACAGACCATTGAGAGAGAAGCTTGCCTAGAAAAACTCATGTTTGCCCAAAAGGAAATATAGAAAACATGTCATTGAGGTTTAGGTAAGATTGCTTCAAGTAAAATGAAGAAATAATTAACTTCTAAATTCTAATGTTATATTATATGCATGAAGCATTGACTTAGCTTAAAAAAAGAGGATGAATTTTACTCAAAAGCTTTAATGGATTTCAAAACAGAGGAAAATCAATATGTTTGACCAATGTTTTATATAAAGGGCATTTAAGGAGTTTACCAACCCACAGAATATAATAGTTGTTTATCTGGCTAGTAGATCAAAGCGTTTTTCTGTTAAATAGATAGTTTATAATACAATCAGGTATCAGTACTCTTGAAACATTATCTTATACCAAGAGTAGAACAGCAACAACAAAATTTACACATACTTGTGACAAAGAAAACTATAAAAATGAAAGTGCCAACATTTATTAACAGTTTCTTTAAAAAATGAAGGAAAATTTGATCAAGCTTATAAAATAAATGATGCAGATTAATAATTTACTTGCATTGTACTATTTACAAAATAAAACCAGAAAACACATTCTGAACATCAAATAAATTCCAGTTTGGCCATTAAGATACTTTGAGAAACACATCTTCCTATACCAGGGAAAATTCTAACAGTTAAATAGTCTCCATGTGTTTATATAATTCAGATGGAATGATAATTCCACAAAACATTACAGATTCTTACTTCATAAATAACTAGTCCCTAAGAATAATTATTTATTAATTAAATTACTGAAAAATTCATGTGGAATTCATATACCTATTTGTTTAAATAAGTCTATAGAAAGTCTTTGAAATTCAATTAAGTGTATGATTTAATTTTTTTAAGAGTGGCATCAGAGATCTTAACATACTTGGGTGGGAATCCCTGTATTTCTCTGCACCTTCATGAGGTTCTATAGAGAACTGAACTTGAGCAATATTTTTGACTTCTCTGCATCATTTCAACTGTGATTTGCCTTCTCACATGGCTCCTGGATATTAAAGACTCTATCCTCCTTTTTCAGCCTTTCTTCTGCTAGCTTCTGTTTCTGATTTTAAACCATAAATATCACTACTTTCCCCAAGACAGGATAAATCATGTGCTATTTCCTCTATAATTTCTCCTTTAGCAATTATATTCTCTCTCTCCTAACTTCAACAACCCCGACTGTCTGTAGTCCATACTTCATGCCATTGCACAAATATATCTAGAATGGCTCTTCTGTCCATTGTGGTCACCACTAATTGTCAGGTTAACATAACCCTGTTAAATGGATCACTTGAGAAAATTCAGCAAAGGAATATAGAATACTGATACCTTGGGGGACCAACCAACTGGACAACCTTATTAAAGCGCTTCTAAGAGGATATGTGACAATGCAAGAAAACACCTGGCTGTTATTATTTTGTGGGCTTTGGTCATAAACTAAAACAAGACCTATTTTTATTCTTTTAACTGCATAGCCTTGATAAAGCTTCCCTCCCCCAAATTAGATTTATTTCAGAAACCATATTCATCTGAGTTCATTAGTTTATCTATTTGATACCTTTTCTATATTATTTACTGAACTATTTCTCTGTAGATCCCACACAATAGCAAATATTAAGATAACTCTGAAGCAACTGATTTATTATACATCATTGCCCATTTTTGTTGCCCCTATAACAGGGGAGAGGAATCATAACAGAATCAATTCTTACTGAATGCTTGTCTTCCATCAGGCACAATAATGCTGTGACGTGTTATTATTACCAAAATATAGATAGGATCCATCAAGTAACTCATCTGAAATTTCAAAGAAGGCAGCAGAGTCAGGATTCCATCCAGCTCTGAACAAAAATAATCTAGTCTCTTGCCATAATGTTCCAGATGGCAACAAGACTTTCTTGCTATCTGTTTTGAGTATCTGCTCATTTGGAATCTCTATTAGCAGCAGCCTGCTGGGACTTCCTTAGTTTTTGTTGCTGCTGTTTTATTTTTGATTGACAAATAATAAATATTTTTGTTATGGGATACAATATGATGTTACAATTCATGTATACATTATGTGATGATAAAATCAGGGAAATTAACATATTATTTGTTTATCATTGCATTACAATGCAAAATCCTCTTATCTAGCTATTTTGAAATTAATTTTTAAAAGGTATGTAATTTTGAAGTACAATTCTGATTACAAGATGGCAACAAGTCTTTCTTGCTATCTGTTTTGATTACCTGGTTATAAGAGGCTGAATAGAATAGGGAAAGGGAAGTGAAGGAGAGTTTTGTCAATATTTACAAAGTTACAGGCAGAAAGGAGCAAGAAGCTGTAGTGTTCTAGTTTATAGTAGGGTGATTATAGATAACAATAATGCTTTATAACAGTATTAAATTAGGATTGGGTTTGAATCTCAGTTCTTTTCACCTAGTTGTACAAATTCAGTCAAAATAATACTAATTTACAAGCCATACTTTTATCTTGTGTAAATTGACAAAATGACATTTGTCTTACAGAGTTGGATATGAATTAAATTAGACAAGTATAATAAAGAACTTAGTGTAGTGCCTGAAATGTCCTTTATGGAAGGCAACTCTTATGATTACTGTTATCTACCCTTGGCCCCCAGAATCTCAGGTCCCTCTTTATCATAGCAGTATACTTCATTACTTTTTTAGTTACTCCATAAAATCTCCTGTTAAAAATATATACTAGACACATAAGATATTTTAAGGTCACTTCTTGGGAACAGAAATATAAATGCTAATGAATGCGCATATAGCATATAGGAATTCATAGCATTTTGATGAAGGAAATTATCTAGAAGGATACTATTTTTCACAAAGTCATCAGTAAATGAAAATATTTTTGTTCCAAGATTGATGGGGGTTTTAGTCAACCAATCACACACTAATAAGGATTTAAGTGATACTACTATATACTAATTGAAAGAAAAATGCCAAATCAAAGTGTTTACATTTTAAAAGACCTCCTGTGATATGATATCTTGAGGCCTGATTTGAGAAACATTTTCTGAGTTCGTATAAATTAATATAGAGTATATATTGACCAAATATTTTTTTTAAGAAAATGAATTTTCTTGTTCACTCAGTGTTGAGTCACTTTAATGAAATGTGGTTATTATGTAATATTGAAAAGTGACTCTCTCAAATTTTTCAATTTCATTTTTCTTTTTCTTGTTTTATTTTTTTAGGGTTCAAGCCCAAGGGTGCTCTACCACTGAGCTACATCCCCAGTTATTTTACTTTTGATTTTGATACAAGGTCTTGCTAAATTACTGAGAGACATGCTAAGTTGCTGAGGCTGGCCTCAGACTTGTGATCCTCCTGAGTTGCTGAGATTATAGGCTTCTGCTACCACACCTGGCTTTATTTTGAATTTCTTAAAGAAGATAGTTATGGAAGACAGTTGTTAAGTTGGTCCCCAACAGTTCCACCTCCTAGGATTCACCTTTGTGTAATCATCTCCCTTTGAGTGTAGTTAGCATTTGTGACTCACTTCTAAAAAATAGAATATGACAAAAGTGATAGGATGTCATTTTAATGGTTATGTTACATAAGATTTTAACTTCATTCTTTCCACAACCTTATCCCTTGCTAGCTTCAATAAAACCAGCTGCCATGTCATGTGCTGCACTATGAAAATTCCCACACAACAATGAACTGAGGTCTGTCTCCAGTCTACAGCTTAAAAGTACATGATATTCTAGACCAAATCCCCAAAGAGACTTAATATTGTCATCAGTATAATATATGAGCTTGGAAGTATATCCTGCCCCTGTTAATCCTCAGATGAAATACCATCCCTGGCCACAATTAGAGCCTCACGAGAAATGCTGAGGCAGAGGAACAACCTAAATTGTGCTGGAATTTCTGACCCACACAACCCGTAAGACAGTCTGTCAATTTGAATTTCTAAGTTTGTGGTGATTTACATAATCACAAGTAAACAATACAGAAAGATAATTGTGATGTTTGCAATCATCATTCAATGCATGTTCATCACAACATCAGGCTCCCTGAGATGTGAAATAGCTATGTAAGAGATATTGCTAAATCCTCAAAATTATATTATAAATCTATGACTTAGGGGCTATTACTTTTCTAAAAGTCCATAACAATGATCTCTTTTCTGTACTTTATTAGTGAACATCTAGCATTAAAATAATGTTGACTTAATTAAAAGTATCATAGATGAGAATGAATCAATAAATAAGCTGGACCACATCTGATAATTCTTTGAATTAGGTAAAGTTATGTCTAGCCATTTTCCTGTACATAATCGAACGTTTCTTCAAATAGGCATTGGGCTTTATTATTCTAAATTTCAAATAAATTTGTTTTGTGTTTCAAAAATTATATTTATGAGAGTATTGAATAAAATCAGGAAGTGATATCAAATACTATTTGTTTTGTGTGATATTATTTATCAATGATTTCTAATCACATTTTTCTTTCAACATTTCACCTCCCATTCAGCACAATATAAACACTGTTCAAAATCTTTGCATGTTTGCAAATATAACTTGTGTTCTCAAATATAAGTAAATGACAGTTTCAATCATAGCACTTTGTGCAAATTTCTTAATTTCTGTATTTTAAGAGTGAGTTTGCATGAAGAACGGTCAAAAAGAGGCTGCATATCAAAATCATTTCATCTTACTCATTATAGTTTTATTTTTTAAATGTGCAAAATGTTATTTCATAGTCACTAGGTCCTTGATATTCTGAAAAAAGGAATGAAACAAAATATTGGAGGTAAAGGCACTGAATGAAACTCCTTTTGAAATGCAGAAAATTAAGAAAAAATAAAGCGAAAATTAAATACTAATAAAGAAAATGAAAATAAAAATAAAAGTTAAGCAAGAATTGAAATAAAATGAAGAAAAATAAATTAAAACAAAAGTTTCAATCCCCTTAGAATCTTATAGCAAGTTATTTGGAATTTTTAATGAGTAAGATTTTTATTTAGGTTGTTAAATAAGCACTGTTTTAGTGTTTTGATGTTGCTTGCTGCTGGTCAAAATCATTTATTAATTTTTTAATATGAACCAGCTTGTTATAAAGATATACACATCTACATTTTTCTGCAGCAAAATTAGGGTTAAGCTGTCTCATCTGCTGATATTCTAGTGAGATTCTTTGATTTATATTGTGATATTCTTTTGAGTTTGGAGATACCAGCTTCCTTTCTGATTCTAAGCTAATAAAAGCTTTAGATAAGTTCAGCATCTTGGCATACAATGTCTGATATTCATCATAATCTACTCTAAATTCCTGTTCATAATGCCAACGTTGCTCTGGAGAAACTATAGTGTGATATTTAGTCAAATAATCCTCAAGTCCAGATGCTGAATAGGTATTCTCAGAGGTAGAACTTTCTGCTTTGTTAGAATTTGAGTTTGTAAATTTATCTTGATCTTTAGAACTTGCCTTCTTCTCTTTCATGTCAGTATTACAACTTTGTTTTTTTGCTTTATGTTTAAAATTCTCATCAGATATCAAATTTTTTTTCTCCCCCAGCTTTGGATACATTTGAATTGAGATAGAAGCTAAGTTTTCCAAAGAAGTATGCTCTTTAGGTTGGCTTGGAAAGATAATAGTGTCTTGACTGACACAGCCCATATGTGGATCTTGAGTTCCACATCTTTGTGGATTGCTACAGGAATTACTGTTGGAATTTACAGGCAAAGAAGGATTTGAAATGGATGGGTAGGTTGTAAAAAATGCTGGGCAGCTCTGTTTGGTTGGAGTTACAGAGGATGGTAGGCAAACTTCAGATTTTTCATGTTTATTAGTGAAGTAGTTATTTGATCTTGGCTGTGCTGACGTTGTCAGGTGAGATATTCTAGGCCCTCTTTTTATTAAATAATCAGTACCATCCAACTTTAAAAGCTTAGTTTGAGAAGATGATGTGCCATCTTTAATAGAATCTATAGAAGATTCCGGGTGATGGGTGTCAGTAGCATTCTGAAATGAATCCATTTTTGTGGAAAGTACCAAATCCAATGATTGCTTGTCTAGTTCACTATATCCAGGCCAATCTCTCTGGATCTCTCTATAAATGCAATTCTTTAAGGAATATGAAAAATTCTGGGTATTTAAGTCAGCTACCTGGTAAAGAATTTTTCCAAGGGAATTCTTGTCACTTTTTTTAATGCCATCTTTCTGCAGTCTAATAAGCAGCTCGGATTTCTTGTAGTCCTTCAGTGCCAATAAGTGAATTACCCTTTCCCTATATGGCCGCATTTGGACACTATTAGCAATCCGTGACTTTCGAATTGTATATGCAGGGTTAATAGGGGCTGTTCTTTTCCTCTCAGGTGCTGGATCTGGAAAAACCTGTGGTGCTTTTCGAATTGGCACTCTTTTCCCTATTTGTGGTTTCCTAATAATTTTCCATTTGTTGCAAGATTGATCTTCTGCCTGGGCCTCTCCTACTGGCATAATCTGAATAGAGCTGTTTGTTGTACTCACTGACATTTCATCTGCTATAGTTTGTGCACAACTGAGCTGTAAGGGACTACAGATTGAAACAGTTTGTTGGGGATGATCAATTATGCCTTGATTATTGTCATTATTTACATTTGACAACTGTAAATTATAGTTGGGCACATCAGTATGTGAATTTGTGGGGAGATTGTTGATAAGCCTTTGAATATTTTGTATTTGAGGAGAAACTTGAGGAGGTTGAACATTCTGAAGGTTCGGATGGGAGTAACTTGCCTGGAAGACTGGCCCGGTGAATCCCACAGGCAGGCAGATGACATTATCTTGTCCTAGCTTTAAGCTTTCTGCTTCCTCCGTGGACACACATCTTTCCTGGTGTCCTGCTGCCTCAACTTCTCTGCCTCCAAAGGCTGCCAAATAATCATAACTGAAAAGATCAAATTTCAATCAGTAAAGTATTTAAGAAAACAGTTACTCTTACTGGCAAGAATTATTTCTTATTTACTATTGTTTGTAAAACTCTAATCATAAAGGATTTGTCCAAATGGAACAAAGCAGAAAAGTACCTGATTGAGAAAGAATTTGGAGAGGAAAGTTGGTTGTAAAAGACTAATTTACTTTTGTTCCACTTTTTTGGGTACTTTTCAGGATAACCCAAACAAGAAAGTGCTAAATAATTCTCTGAATTCAGTGTATAAAGCCATCTTTTTCTAGTGAATTCAATATCAAGTAAGCATACTAAATATGTGGATCAAAAGGATCCACAGGCTATTGGAGATTGGAAGACTTGGCTTCCATGTGACATGAAGCTTTCCTTACATATTCTCTGACATGAGAATCAACTCATATCATTATTGGGTTGGGGTCTTGACCTATCTACAGAGGTGCTCATTTGATAGCTAAATGTGTTATTTAGATTAATAATAAGTAAAAAAAAACCCACATATTTTAGAGATGCCTACTACTCTTTCACAACCTTTTTACCATTACTAATAAGCGGAAGTGATTTTTCACTTCTTTAGGTTGTCACTTACACCCATTATTCTGCTTCTTTGCACCCCTCCTCCAGAGAATCCTCAGCAAACTTATCCAGGTGCTTAAGTGTTTTGCCCATGTTGATAGAAACACTCTAGCTAGGCATTTTAGAGGTGTACAATTTAGTCTCTGAATGTACACAAACTACTGGGAATCAGTTCTAATCAGTTTCATCTCAAAAATAGGCACAACTCCCTCCTTCCCCCAAACTCCTAGTCTAATCCTTAGATTTCCCTAGGTATCTAAGGAATCACCTTCTACATAGCCACACACCTAGAATACCTGTGTCACATTGACTAACCCTCAAATATACTTCTCATTAATTTCTCTCAAATTTCTCTAATATTTAGCCACCAATTTTTCTATTCATACAATAGATAGTCATTGAACACTATCATATGCCTGAAGTTTTTGATTTTGAGATCTATTGCAATGAATAAAATAGAAAAAATATCTGTTTTCATTACGGCTACATCCCTGTAAGATTTTAATGCAGAACATCTCAAATACATCACTTATCTCCCATCCCATGGTGGTCATTGAGCTAAATTAGGCAGAGAACATCTTTGCATACATTATGTACTCTCCACAATACTTGATTGCTTGCTTCCAGTGTTTTCTGGTCTTCAATCATCTTTTGAACTGCTAGCAATAATTTCAATCAGCAATGCTTTAAAATATATAATGGTTTCCATTACTTCAAAAATAAAATAAAACTATTTGGTGTGACATACAGGAGCCTTCTTATTCAATCCCCAATTTATATTAAAGCCTTTGACATGTGTCTAGAAGCTGCATTTATCTGCTTCCCATTTTCTGAGTATGTCTCATGCTTGTTCCTGCTTCAGTCTTTCATTTGATATTCCTTCTTCCCATTATGCTCTTCCCAATGATCTTTGTATATATTATTCCTCTACTTTGGAAAGTCCTTGCATGACCATTTTGTCTAAAATAGCATCCTATATTGACACTCATATTCAGGACTTTTTCCACTATTTTTTTTCACATTTCTTTATAACATATTTATTACCTAGAATTATATTACATATATAATTTTGTTCCACATAAGTCTTCTTCACCAGAATATGGCCTTAATGAGGGATTGCATTTAGTCCATTTTTTTTTTTGCAATGCTCTATCTCCAGTAGCTAGAACTGTGCCTGGAACACATAGTAAGCATTTATAACTTATTGAGCAAATTATTATATCAATGTCATCTACTTATAAATTTCACTTTGGATGAATTCACCTTAAGTTTCTATTCAACATTAGTATATCAGCTCAAATGTAACATCATGAATAAATAAGATCTCTCTGTAATTGAAACTAATACTTCCCTTCATTATAATCCCAAAGTATTTTGTGCAAACTCTAAAAAACCATATATTTTATCATAATTACTTAACTGTTTGTCTCCTCTAATGGACTATGACCTCTACATCCATAGCGAGTACATTCTATTCATTTTGTGTGAGTCCTCCTTTTAGTTTCTACCACTTCACTCTAAAAGTAGCAGGCATATATCAGAAGACCATCTCTAAGTGTTTGGAAAGGGGATGAATAGTAGCACTTTTTCATTTCTCCAGGCAAAGATATATTACTATCTCATCAAGGAGTAATGAAAAATCTATCAATGTCAAAGAAAGGTTTCATTTCTCTAACATTTTTTCAGGTTTTTCTTAACTTCACAGCATAATTATATAAAAGTACTAAAATTACTGATGTAGAGAGAACATAAAATCCTTCCTAAGAAAACCAACGGGCTACTGAAGTATACTCAGCAATATAGTGTTTTAGTACATATATACAAATGCTTTATTGGATTCTTCCTGGAAATCTGTAGTAAAAACTGGAAGAAATAATTTAATCTCAAGTACATTTATGTCTGCAATCTTTGGGAAAATAACTAAAATAGTCCTTGAGAAATCCTATTTCCACTAAACCTAACAACAATATACATGTTGGCAAGAGATTGCAAAGAGGGGCACATTGAGACAAAAAAGTACAAAGTTTTATTGACAGACATAAAAAAAGACTTGAAAACATAAAGAAATATTTTAGTATCTCTGAGAAGAAAACTGAATAGTGTATGGATGTCACATATTTCCAAATGAATACATATATGTAATATGATTGCAATAAAAACTTCATTGGGATTTTCCTTTGCATCTGCAAAACTATTATAAAATTCAACTGTAAGAGGGACTAAAAGAATTTTGCAAAGGATAGTAACAATATGGAGCCTCTCTATTGGGTAATATAATATAAAACTATAATATTTAACATAATAAGGAACTAGTAGAAGAAGAGATAGAAAATGGATGCAAGTAAACAGATAATTTGAGACACAAAGCCCAGGAAGAAATTAGATGATAAACAGGACCATCAATAATCATTGAAAAAAACTCTTTATTAGACAAAGGTGCCAAAAGCATGCACTGGAGAAAGGATAGCATCTTCAACAAATGGTGCTGGGAAAACTGGAAATCTATATGCAACAAAATGAAATTGAATCTCTTTCTCTCACCATGCACAAAAGTAAACTCAAAATGGATCAAGGAGCTAGGAATTATACCAGAGATTCTCTATCTAATAGAAGGAAAAGTTGGCCCTAATATTCATCATGTGGGATTAAGGCCCCAACTTCCTTAATAAGACTCCTATAGCACAAGAATTAAAACCAAGAATCAACAAATGGGTTGGATTCAAACTAAAAAGTTTTTCTCAGCAAAAAAAAAAAAAATGATATGTGAGGTGAATAGAGAGCCTACATCCTGGGAGCAAATTTTTACCCCTCACACTTCAGATAGAGCACTAATCTTTAGGGTTTATAAAGAACTCAACAAGATAAGCACCAAAAAAATAATAATCAATAAATGGGCCAAGGACTTGAACAGACACTTCTCAGAAGTGGATATATAATCTATCAACAAATATATGAAAAAATGCTCATCATCTCTAGCAATCAGAGAAATTCAAATCAAAACTACTCTAAGATACCATCTCACCCCAGTAAGAATGGCAGCCATTATGAAAACAAACAACAAGTTTTGGCGAGGATGCAGGGGAAAAACGTACACTCATACATTGATGGTGGGACTGCAAATTAGAGCATCCAATTTAAAAAGCAGTATGGAGATTCCTTAGAAAGTTGGAAATGGAACCACCATTTGACCCAGCTATCCCTCTCCTTGGTCTATACCCAAAAGACCTAAAAAGAGCATACTACAGGGACACAGCCACATCAATGTTTATAGCAGCACAATTCACAATAGCTAAACTGTGGAGCCAACCTAGATGCCCTTCAATGGATGAATGGATGAAAAAAAAAAACATGGCATTTATACATAATGGAATATTACACAGCATTAAAAAATGAGATCATGGAATTTGCAGGGAAATGGATGGCATAGAGAAGATTATGTTAAGTTAGCCAATCCCTGAAAAACAAATTTCAAATGTCTTCTCTGATATAAAGGGGGTGACTCAAAATGCAGTTGGGAGGGAGAACAAGGGAGGAAGATTACCTCTAGATAGGGAATAGGGTTGGGAGGGAAAAGGAGGGAGAAGGGGAATAGCATGGATAGTGGAAGGAGATGGTCATCATTATACAAAATACATGTATGAAGCTGTGAATTTGGTGTCAACATATCTTATATACAAACAGAGATTTGATAAATTGTGGTAAAGGTATATTAAGAATTGCAATGCCAAAAAATATAAATGTAATGCAATCCTCTATTATGATGTATGTAATAAATAATAAAAAATAAATTAAAAAAAGAAAAATAGGGTAGATCCTTAAATGAACATTACTTAAAACAAAACAAGTTGTCATCATTTTAGCAAAAATATCAAATTAGAATCTCCCTCATAGCATATTATGAAATGAATTCCAGATGTATCAAACAACCGAAGACAAAAAATCAAACATAAGACAATAAAATATCTGAAACTTAAGTGCAATGGCAGTATTTACATAGGAAAACATGAATATACTTTAACACATAAAAAAGATTATCATATAATGAACACAAATTTCATCCCATTAAGCCTCAATATTGGTATCAAAGTAAGAAAAACTTGAAGAATAGTATGAGATTTCTCTTCAGAAGACACAGTATAGTACCACAAATAATGAATACTGCTAAAAAGTTATTGTTTTGCATGATCCTTAAGTAAAAGCTAATTGATCATATACTTGAATATTATTCTTTTCAATTACATTTATGGCAATAATAAATTGTACTCTAACAAAATATATAAAGTTGAAATTCTCTTCTAAGTGGTGTAGTTTGGCACATTGTTGCTAACATAAAATGTTTATTTCAGAAGTTACGATATTGGATAATAACAAATAAAATGCCTGCACCATCCATGTTCTTTAAAGATCATTAAACAATTGTTGCTCCTTTTTGACAAGCCATTTGTAGGTGTATCTAGACTTCCAGCAAATTTTGTAGTAGTTAAAATGACAAAAATTTATTAATCAATCCTACTTAAAGTTCTACATTAATTTTCTTATTTTATAATGCTTCAGAACCTGCCTTTTGTAGGGTGTGGTAGCACATGCCTGTAATCCCAGTGGCTTGGGAAGCTGAGGAGGGAAAATTAAAAGTTCAAAGCTAGACTCAGCAACTTAGAGAGGCCCTAAGTAACTCAGTGATTCCCTGTCTCAAAAAAGGAAATAAAAAAAAAATAAAACAAAACATAAAAGGGTTAGGGATAAGACTCAGTGATTAAGCATCTGGGGTTTAATTTCTGAATCCAAAATAGGTAAAAACTGCCTTTGATCAACATTATAGACACTGTACACAATCTAATGATATCCTCTGTGAGAGAATAGGAGACATTTACGCCAGTTATCTTGAATTTCCCTGATATTCACTCTATAGTCATTTTTCTGATTTTATAGTAAAAGTAGAAAACAAACCTAGTTTGAATCATTCTCATACTTATCAAAGCTCTTAAGGTTGAGGCTAGTATAAGACTACATCTACCAATCATTACCTATCCATCGTTCTTGATCATCATCCAGTATATGAGCTCCCTGGAGCTCCTCTCTCTTCGATGCGTGTTTTCACACTGCGCTGAACCTCCTTTGCTATGAGACCATATACATTCTCACACTTCTAGAATTCTGACTTCACAATTACCAATCTTCTCTAACGTTCTCAACCTCCTTATATAAAATGAAACTCCACTTTCTCCATGGGTGCTTCTTTACTACAGCTCTCTTGAAAGAATCCACATATTTTTTTCAGAATTCTTATAACTCAAGATTGATTTCTTAGTCTATACAGGTTGCTATAAAATTATTATAGACTAGATAGTTTATAAACAACAGACATTTATTTCTCACAGTTTATTTTTGTTGTAGATAGACAAAACACTTTTATTTTATTTACTATTGTTAGATGGTGCTGAAGATTGAACCTATTGCCTCAATGTGCTAGGCAAGCACTGTACCACTGAGCTACAACCCTAGCCCTATTTCTCACAGTTTTGAGGCTGGGGATACAAGTTGCCTGAAGATTCACCATCTGGTGAGGACCTGCTTTTTTGGTTCATAGATGTTCCTTCTTACTATGTCCTCAAATAGCAGAAGATGTGAGGTTTTTCTCTGGGGTCTCTTTTATAAGGACGGTAATCCCATCCATGAGGTTTCATCCTCACGACCTAATCATTTATCAAATGCCTCACCCCCTACCATCACTTTTGAGGTGAGGATTTCAACATGTGAATTTTAGAGAGATATATTAGACCATAGTCATTTCACTCCTACCCCCCTCAAAATTCATGTCCTTCTTACATAAAAATATACTTACTTCATCTCAATAACCCCAAAATTTTTAATAAATTTCAGCACTAACTAACAGGTTTAAAGTTCAGAGTCTCATATAAATATCCTCTATATCAGATAAGGGTGAGATTCAAGGTACAATTTATTCTGAGGCAAATTACTCTCCAACTGTGAGCCTGTGAAATTCAATATTTTATGTGCTTCTGAAGTGCAATGAATCCAAAAGGGAGGAATAGGAAAAAAGAAAGGAATAACTGGTCCCAAGCAAGTCCAAAATCCAACATACAACAGGCAAGAGGACATTAAAATGTGATGCTGAGGAAGAATAACATTTGGCTTGATGTCATGACCTCTAACCCACTGAAAATGCCATCCAAAATTTCAGACTTACTAAGGCAGACGTCCGCACCTTCTGGACACACTGGGATGTCACCTGCACAGTTTTGCCACATAGAAGCTTATCCCCCAAGGCTTGTAAATCCTTGACCATGGAAGCTCTGTGCCTGTGTACTATTTTTGAGGTGGTTCTCTATGGTGACTCCACCTTCACAGCAGCTAAGTGCTTTAGTAACATGCCTTAGGCTCCCCTGAGCTTAAACCACATGCTTGTGGTTCTACCAATATAGGGTTCCTGTTTCTATAGCTACACTGAGTATTTGTCTTCTCCATAACCCAGTTATTCCAGGACAGTGGGGTAGTTTGCAGTTAGGCTAAAGAAAATGCCTGGAGACAGCATGGAAGATGGCTTATTGATGAAAGTTTCCAAGAGATAATTGATTGCTGCAAGAAGACTTTAGTGGCCACAGGCCAATCAATATTCCCTATATCCCTCATGCTGCTTCTCCAAGCAGTACCTTCTCTCCGTTATAGTGTTTTGTCCTGTGGCAGCCAGCTGGATGAGTGGCACATATAATTTGTAGAGTGCCCTCAGTTCTGCACTGGTCCCCATCCAGAGAGGGGTTTTATATGTCAGACTGTAGAAGCAGGGACATCTCAGCATTAGGTTTCTTGGTTTGCTCTATGACCAACATCTCAAGGAACAGCTATGCTGGAGTACATGCAAGAAAGCAGCTTTCTACAGATAACATGAACTTGCCCTAGTTCCCAGAGTCCATAAGAGAAAGCTAGTTGTCTTTTAAGATAATACATATCTGGATTTTCCAGCCTGCCCTTGTGTTCCTTGTTCCCTTAACATGACTAGGTTTAGAGGAACAGAAAGGGGGCATTCAAGGGCATGGTGTCTGACTGTCCTCTTTTCTTTAGGGATGAGACAGCATTGCAATAATAAGGGTTCTCTGTCATGGCCCTTTGCTCACCGGAGCTCTTGCATTCTGGGCTTGTGATGGGAGGGCAGCCCTGACTATTTATGAATTTTTTTTTCTGGTTCATTATTCCATTGTCTTGGACAACAGTTCCTTATCAGATGATAATTTGAATACATCCTTCATATTTTGTCCCAAAGAGGATCTCACTATTTTCCTTATGGACAGACTGAGAATGTCACAATATTTAAGATTTGCTTCTCTTTTGTTTGAAAATTCCAACTTTATGTCATTTTTATCTTCTTGCATTTTAATATGAGTAGTCAAGAGAAACCAAGCCACAACTTCAATTCTTCACTTGGATATTTCTTCAGCCAAATACTCAGTTTCACTACCCACAATTCTGCAAGTTATTGGATACTTTTAAATGAAGATTATCTTTCTTCCATTACCTAATAGCATATTTCTCCTGTCCATATGAGATCTCAAAAGAATGTTCTTTACCATATATATCTTTATCAAAATTCTATTCATAATTGTTAGGTATCTCTAAGAATATTGAGTCTATTTCCATCATTCTCCTCTTTTCTGTTTGAGCTTTCATAAGAATTACACTTGATGTCTGTTCACAGCAATTTTATCTGCTTTTTCTATAATAAAACTTCTCAAAACTCTTCCAGCCTCTACCTAGTATCCAGTTCCAAAGCTACTTCTACATGTTTAGATATTTGTTACACTATTAAATCCACTTATTAGTACTGATTTTCTGTTTTAGTTTATTCAGCTAATATAACTAAATATGATAGGATGGGTAATATATTAACAACAGACATTTATTTCTCACAGTTCTAGAAACTGAACTATCTAAGATATGTATGCAAGCAGATTCAGTATCTGCCCAGAGCCTGCTTTCTGTATTGTAGATGACACATTTTTCCTGTGTCCTCACATGGTAGAAGGAACAAGAAATCTATCTGGGGTCTCTTTTATAAAAGTACTAATCCCAAAGCCCAACTACCTAATACTTTCCAACTCCTAAAGACTCTACCTCCTAACATCATCACCTTGAGGGTTAAATATCAAATTTAGTAATTCAGTAGAGAAGGATGCAAAGATTCAGACCACAGTAGCCGGAAAGTGAGAATATTTTCTTTCTTGCTTTCTGGTACTATCAAAAGAAGAGCTAATTCTTCCTTAATTCAATCTTAAAGTTATTTCCTCTCCAGAATCATAAATAATCTGATTATACCATAAAGCTCCTAATATCATGTACTCTCTGAGGTCAGTCTCAAATACTTTTCCTCAGGTTTGTAGTTTCCTACTTTTCAACTTTATTTGATCACTAAATACACCAGTTTAATTCTTGCCTCAAAGTCTTTTGATATGGTGGTCCAACTCTGGTTATTCTCCTTTCTCAATCTGTTTCTTCTGCTACCACACACAATTTTGTCTATCAAGCCCCTACTCATACTCTTAATTCCAGCTTAAAGATCTTTATCAAAGCCTCTATTTGACAGGGACTCATCAAGAAAGAAAAGGCATATCCAAATTAGGGCAAATATTAGCTTTGTGTCACTGATCAAAATAACTGACAAGAACAACTTAAGGAGGAAAAGTTTATTTTTGGCTCACAGTTTCATTTGTTCAGTCGACAGTTGGATGATTCCATTGTTCTGGACCCTTGGTAAGATGGATCATCATGCCAGAAAACCATTGCAGTGGAATGAATGGTGCTCAACTCATGGTAGTTAGAAGGCAGAGAGACAGGAAAAAGTATCCAGGAGACAAGATTTGATCTACAACAGGACACATCCTGAAGACCTACTTCCTCCAGCTATGCACCTCCTGCCTAAATTACCACAGAGTCCAAATTATTAATCCATGAAATGGATTAACTCGCTGATTTGGTTACAGCTTTAATAATCTAATCACTTAGCACTATAGATTCCTGCATTAACACAAAAGGGTTTTTTTGAGAGGGGGTGTTTAGTCAACTTTTTCACTGCTGTGACTAAAAGACCCAATCAGCACAACTGTAGAGGAGGAAGAGTTTATTTGACAGCTCAGGGTTTCAGAGGTCTCAGTCCATAGATAGCTGGCTCCATTCCTGAGGGCTCCAGTTTTGACAGGAACAACACAGAAGAGTGTGGCAGACAGAAGTGGTTTACATGGTGTTCAGGAAGCAGAGAGAGAGGTCTCCACTTTCAGGATACAAATATATACCCAAAGACATGCCTCAATTCCCACCTCCTCCAGCCACACCCCACCACTTCAGTTACCACTCACTTAATCTCTATCAGGGGATTAACTCATTGATTGGATTATGACTCTCACAACCCATTAATTTCTCCTCTGAACCTTCTTAAATTGTCTCACATGTGAGCTTCAGGGGAAACCTCACATCCAAACCATAACAGGGGGGATACATCACATCCAAATCATAACAGACAGCTTAACCAAGAGAATATTTTAAACATATGGGCACATTTTAGGAACACTAAGAGCGGTATTGAAATAAACTGAGGCTAGTAAGGCAGAGAGACAGCTCTAGGCCAGGAGATAAGAAAGAGAAAGTCTTGTAGAGACAAAGTGGTAGTGAAGTATAGTACCAAAGGACAAGAAATAACAAGAAAAAAAAAGCCCAATAGACATGAAAGGAATAAATAGAAGGTGTGTGTGTATGTGTGTGTGTTTGTGTATGTGTGTAAAACATTTATTGCTCTTTATAGATCAGCTTCCTATATAAAGAGCAATTTTCATTGATATTCCAGAATGAGTTAATTAGATTTTCACATTAAACACCCTTGTAGTTTTCTGTATTGATTTAATTTAATTACCAGATCCCTTTAGTTACAAACCTTTTCCTTGTAATATAGAGGATCAAAGTAATAAAACATGATCTGTATATATCTTGTAATATACATACCAATGTTGTAGTTAACAAGCACAAATCTGTGACAATGTTCATATTTCATATTCATGCATACACAAAATTGCATGTATTACACTTATGCTTCTGGTTCATGCTTCTTTATATGCAT